CAATGTTGTACATCCAACAGTATGGACACCATTAGACAGAATAGATGTAACCGTCGTCCAATGTTGTACATCCAACAGTATGGACACCATTAGACAGAATAGATGTAACCGTCGTCCAATGTTGTACATCCAACAGTACGGACACCATTAGACAGAATAGATGTAACCGTCGTCCAATGTTGTACATCCAACAGTACGGACACCATTAGATAGAATAGATGTAACCGTCGTCCAATATAGTACATCCAACAGTACGGACACCATTAGACAGAATAGATGTAACCGTCGTCCAATGTTGTACATCCAACAGTACGGACACCATTAGATAGAATAGATGTAACCGTCGTCCAATATAGTACATCCAACAGTACGGACACCATTAGACAGAATAGATGTAACCGTCGTTTAAGGTTTTACAGAGAATACTAAAGCTTGAAGTGTAAGACTGTTATTACTGAATTACATACCGGGCTATGTAGTTTTTGTAGTTCTTTTAAACCTAATCAAGTCGTATTGGCGAAATGGATCTGGTAAATTGTTGTTGTTATTTATGTGAAACAATAGGTCATATATTTTATATAAACCATTCTCTCCCATAGACAGTTTATTACTAATTCATTTACAGAAATAACACGTGAAACTTTACATCTTACTATATATATTCACACAAAATCCAATAAAACTAAAACTCACACAAACAAACGCTAAAAATTGTACATTTCTCACAAAAATAAATAACTAGATATACGAGGATTCACTTTCAACAACAAATACGTAGAGACTACAATTCATTGGTGCCCTAACATTTTCTCGTGCAATATCAGTTCTATATTCCGTTAAAATGTTCAATATGTAATTAAAACTTGTACTAGTAGGATACTGACAAATATCATTCTATACTCTTTTGTTATTTGAATATTCTTATTATTTTACACGAAATGAAAACAAGTTTCAGTTCGGTTCAAGAATGGTAGGACTTATTTTTATTTTAGAGGGTGTATTCTATTCTTTTTTTTTTTTTTTGTTACAGGAATAAGCAAACTTGTGGTTATATACCCTTCAAAGAATCAGATTGTTCTTACATTAGGCCTGACACCAGAACAAGGTTCGTATTCCTTAATCTCGTTGCTAGATTCCTTAAACTATGAGATAGTAGGTACGTGTGACCAAGAACCTATACACCCCATGAAGGGAGTATTCTTAATATAACCTAAATATCAATACAATCATTAATCATTAGATAGAGAAGTACTTAACATGAAGCATTAAGTTATATGTATATATACAGCATTAATGTAAATCTAAAACACTTTATGCTAAACCATTTTGAAGTTTTCATCCAGCTATATGTGATTAAAACCCCAAAACTTACACTTCTGTTAAGTTTTATACAAGATTTCCTTATAGGATAATATAGGTATTTCTTCACTACTTAACACTAATTCATAATGTAGGTATTTCTTTGCTACTTAACCTTAATTCATAATGTAGGTATTTCTTTACTACTTAACCCTAATTCATAATATAGGTATTTCTTTGCTACTTAACACTAATTCATAATATAGGTATTTCTTTACTACTTAACCCTAATTCATAATATAGCTATTTCTTTGCTACTTAACACTAATTCATAATATAGGTATTTCTTTACTACTTAACCCTAATTCATAATATAGGTATTTCTTTACTACTTAACCCTAATTCATAATATAGGTATTTCTTTGCTACTTAACACTAATTCATAATATAGGTATTTCTTTACTACTTAACCCTAATTCATAATATAGGTATTTCTTTGCTACTTAACACTAATTCATAATATAGGTATTTCTTTACTACTTAAACCTAATTCATAATATAGGCATTTCTTTACTACTTAATCTTAATTCATAATGTAGGTATTTCTTTACTACTTAACTCTAATTCATAATATAGGTATTTCTTTACTACTTAACCCTAATTCATAATATAGGTATTTCATTGCTACTGAACCCTAATTCATAATATAGGTATTTCTTTACTACTTAACCCTAATTCATATAATAGGTATTTCTTTATTAATTAACCATAATTCTAATCAGACAATTGAAGATACATTTTATGATTTAAAATAGATTCTTCGTTAAATTTCTGTATTTTTTACATGGTAACGTAAGATATAAAATCATTATTACAAAAGTGCCTAACTTTCTACATCTCGTTTCGATTTATTCAGTGTATACGATGGGGTAAAGTACCACTTAGTCTTTAAGAAAAACTAAATACGGCGTTTTGTCAAACAGATATTAGCTACAGAATACTCCTTAGGATCATTATGTGGAGTTTGATTAATACGACGTAATTGGAAATGACATTATTAACAACTTACCTGGTACTTTTTAAGCTTACATAAAGTATATATTACTTGTCTTTGTTACTGTTTAACGTATTGTTACACCTCCAGTTACTAGTCACGTGACCTCGCTGACGCAACAGTATGATTTGTTTCAATACAGAATTCCTGCAAGTACTTGTATTCTTCCACTGTTACTTTAATACAACAATGCTTTGTTCTTTAGTCCAGTAGGCTTAGTAGTAACTAAATTAATTATTATGCTTTTAAATCCCCTCAAATTAGTTTCCTAAAAAAAAGAACAAACAACTTAACCAATAAACCAGATTCAATACTTTTATCGACCTCTAAATGAAAAATAAAACATGTGCGATTTTCAGTTTATATGATCTGACACTCAGATGTGTTGATAATTACATTATATAGAAAACCGTAAATATAAATACATATCTTCAACATGCTACAAAAAGGCGATATAATTAAATAACTGTGAAGCCTACATACAAAACAAAGACATATATATATAAAGTATTGAAGCTTAGTTAAGATGTTTGAGTTCCTTCTTAATGTATATATGAATATTTACATCACGCTACACAACGGGTTTCACTAAACTACTACAGAAATAAATCCATATTCGACCTCTTGCGTTTTCTCCAATAACATGAAGTCGAAACGTAGACGTTTACAAACTATAGTGCACGAATATTCCACGACGTCATCCACGTTAACTTCTTCGGTGTTATCCAACCATGTGGTATCTATAACAAAACCAAAACCCACACCTCGTTCCTAAATACTTATAAGAGTCTATGCTGTGCTTTACTATTATTGATGGAATCATCCGTTTGGATCTCTTCGAGCAACCAGAAAGTTTCCATTTTACCTTTTCCCTGAATGAATATATTGATAAATATGTTACTGTAACTTATATTATACGGACTGAAAATTTATAAATGAAATAAAAGTCAATAAAAATAGAATGAATTAACCGTACTTTAACGTTAACTTCACCTCGAGTTATAAGTGAAATAAAATTCAGTTAAAAATAGAATAAGTTAACCGTACTTTAACTTCAACACGATTAATAAATGAAATAAAATTCAGTTAAAAGTAGAATAAGTTAACCGTACTTTAACGTTAACTTTACCTCGAGTTATAAATGAAATAAAATTCAGTTAAACATAGAATAAGGTTAATCTTACTTTAACCTCATCTCGAGTTATAAGTGAAATAAAATTCAGTTAAAAATATAATAAGTTAACCGCACTTTAACTTAAACCTCATCTCGAGTTATAAGTGAAATAAAATTCAGTTAAAAATAGAATAAGGTTAATCTTACTTTAACTTTACCTCGAGTTATAAGTGAAATAAAATTCAGTTAAAAATAGAATAAGGTTAATCTTACTTTAACCTCATCTCGAGTTGTAAGTGAAATAAAATTCAGTTAAAAATATAATAAGTTAACCGTACTTTAACTTAAACCTCATCTCGAGTTATAAGTGAAATAAAATTCAGTTAAAAATAGAATAAGGTTAATCTTACTTTAACTTTACCTCGAGTTATAAGTGAAATAAAATTCAGTTAAAAATAGAATAAGTTAACCGCACTTTAACTTTAACTTCAACACGATTAATAAGTGAAATAAAATTCAGTTAAAAATATAATAAGTTAATCTTACTTTAACTTCAACTTCACCTCGAGGTACCAACATGAAGTTTCCAAAGTGATCAAGAACTGCTTTAGTGTTTGGACTCACATGAATCTTGAGAGCTGTTGTCGAGATTAACAAAACGATCATATATTAGGCATAGAGAGTATGCTAACAAGCAAAACGCTGTTATTGCTATTTTAAATTTGACTTAGCAATGTCATTATATTACCTGGTTTTTATATTTATTTTTTTTACATTAAGACAGAGAAAATGGAATCCTTTTAATTATTAAGAGTCATTGTTATGTTTCGCCCAATAAAGATTTTTTAAAACGTATTATTATTATTAAGTTACATGTATGTATATATATATATTACTATTTTAATTCTAATAAAAAACCCAAGCAGTATTTTGTTTTCTTCATTTGTAATTGCTTCTCAGAGTTATACTAAGTTGCTGTCAAATTATGTTGTACTGATGTGTGGATGTCCACCATTTAATCACGCCCAAATTTAACGATAGGTTTAGACATGGTACCGACCCTGAAAAATCAAAGTTTTGTCTTCTTTTCTCATTTTATAATTAACAACTCACACCTATCAATGTGATTGAACTAATAACTGATTTTCTAACTCTAACTGGGAGAACCGACATTATGTATACCTGCACTTAGTTATGACAATTCTACCACAAGGTGGTTTCACTGTCGCGTTAAAGAACACATAAATATCAAAGTGAAAACAAGTCAAACATACTTGAACAAGTGGCTAATTAAATTAAGTTAAACTTTGAACTAAATTAACTAGTTATATATATATATATACTAACAAAATGAAGCCAAAGTTCAGTCGAATTCACTAAAGCTGCGACATTATTACCTATATATTTCAGATATTACAATGACACAATTTTAACTTTGTTCATGCACGTACATTACCATGATATTTGTTAGAAAATAAATATATATCAAGAATTAAATATTTTGTGCACAATTTGAGCCAGGTTTCATTGAAATAAAATAAACATTTCAGCAAGAAGCTACCAAAAGATCACGAAATGACACAAATCTTTGTAATACAGAAAACGGTAGGCAAAATTATTCAAGTTATGTTACACATCCTGGAAAGTTGAAACATCTCAATAAATATGCTCATAAAAAATAATCCCCATTCGTAAGAAATATATCCCTTATAGTTATATGCAGTATATTGTCTGTGTTGTCAGGCTCCCGGTAAAATGCAGGGTCCGATCCCTACCATAGGCACCGCGCACTCAATCCAATGTTGCAGCTTTACACTTGAACAAACAAGTCCTAGTCAGAATATATTAGACACTTTGTAAAACGTCGCCACGTCCTAGTCGGAATATACAAGACACTTTGTAAAACGTCGCC